CCCCCAAATCATCGGTGAACGAAACTGCGGCAGCTACAACCAGTGTACGACGAGTACGCGGTTCTTACAGCTGACAATGATGACTCATACTCAGCTGCTACAGTACGACAATTAGCTACCAGATAGAATTGGAGTTTCCCGACTGCGAAACGAACAACCATGGTACATCGCCTGACTGACCCTGTTTATGCTTTCACCAGATTGTTATACACTTGAAATGCGAAAACTTTGCATGAGACGATGTTGACAGGAGCACAAAAACCTTGTAGCTTTTCCCAAACGATCCGTCTCACGGAGCAATGTGTAGTTAACTAGTCGTTACGACGATCGTTGGTTATTTACATAGGGAATTGATGAGAGCAAATTGAACCATGAACATCGCGTGACCCATGTCTCCTGACTGCTTTGATGAGATGGACGGAGAGGACTCGCCGTTTCGCAATTTTCAATGGTATCCAGCTGAGGTTATCTTACTACAATCGGGTGAACAAGGTGCGCTAGTACGTCGTTTACTTCCGATCAATCAGTCGTTCGGGTGTAACGCCCTTTCGGTGCCTAACTGCCATGGAGCCCGAAGGAAGCACGAGGGCGGAGATACCGTCAGATGGTCCAAGCTGAGGTTGGGTTCGAACCACAGACCTTGCGATCAGTAAGATCCCAACCAAACACTAAACCACCTTGATCAGGATGAATCAGAACGAAGTACGGAATAAAGTCCACCTCTGAAATACCGACTACTCCAGTTCAGCCTGAGGCCCACAGGGCAGCACATTACCTCAAGGACTTCGTGCAGGTTGAATGAAGACTGGACTCATATCTGGAGTACTGGATGGTCGACGCGTCTTACGGGGCTGGGATTCCTAGGGTCTGTTGGTTTTAGGTACCAAGTAAGTTACCGTCCCCACTCGTTCAGCTGTAGCACCTTTTAGGTGCNAACCAAATTGATTTGCAAACGAGCGTAGTCGTTGATTCCGTTTGTCTGATGTTTTTAATAATCGCTTTGTGCGAGTTTTTCTCTTAGGTTTTCCAGTACACGTAAGATTTTTTGGTGTAGGTACAAATAGCTCGTCCATCTTCAAAAACACGATTGAGCCACGGGCCCCCTCCAAACGGTGTTACTTTATGCTACGGTTTGAGTACACAGAATTTTATATGATTTAAATGAATTTTTTGAGGACCTCGTGCGAATCGCCGAAATTGTCGCTTGAGCTCCATTGTCGGTGAGTTTGGAGAATCTTACGTGCCACAGTAATTCTGTTTATCAACTTTTCACCCAACTTGTTATCCATAGTGATCCTATGGATGACGGCAGGTAAACAACTAATTCTCGTTAGTCCGCCTGGCTGAGATAACACCCAAGCGCGACAACCGATGAGGGAAGCGGTTGAGAGCGAATGGCAGTACAACATAGTGTCGTTATGGGGTCACCGTTCTTCCCCCACTGATTTTCCTTTCCTTTGTCTAATCTTCGTTCACAGCTTGGCGTGGAGCACGTGCGTCATTTAGTGGGGGCCAGATAGCTCAAGTGGTTAG